AAGTGCCCTAATGTGGCCTCATTAACACCACCAAGTCAGTCAGTCAGTCTAGCTGCAGAAAATCTCATATTATCATGCTCACCAGTGGGGTTATGGTAATATTTTAAATGCAGGCAGCGGTGTAAACCATAAAAAACCCATTGGCACATCGTCAAGGGGAGACCAAAAATGCAGTAACTGTGTCGATTCATATCAAAAAGCCATTTCTAGTAGTTTTCTTTCTCAACAGAAGCAAGTCTGTTAAAGTTAGTGGTTCTAAATTGCCCATTTAAGCCCTAGCCACCTCCAAATAGTTTGTATTACAACAGAGACAATACAATAATTTGCATTTAAGGGTTGAGTATGGATTGAGTGTAGGTTGTCATTGAACCATGGGCACAGCTGTCATGGTAAGTCAACAATGAACAACTCATAAAAAGAACCAGTGGTTTGTTACTTTGTTGTAAACTGTGGATTGTTCACCACGGTTTGCTCTCTCAGCTAGGTTGAGCTAGCACAATAACTCAAGTTTCAACCACAAATGGAGAAAGTTCAACCACAATCCATTCTCAGGTCGTACTCAACCCTTGAATGTGGGTTATCATGTCATTGTTGCTGGGTAAACCAATCTCTCCCCAGCTACTGAGGACTGCAAGTCAGTTCAGAGGGAACAGGGAGGTGGTGACAGATGGCAACAGCATCCTTGCTAATGCAAGTATGTTGTTGCTGCGACCCCGGAAGCCCCAGCTCTACTGCATCACTGCTGTTGTCTCCTGGATCACTGACCAGAAGCCTCAACAGCAGTTGGCAGAACTGTGCTGAGAGCTGGAACCATCTTCCACAGTCCCACAGGCAAGGCACTTTCCTTCCGCCTCAGCCCACCACCATGGGGTTCTAAAGATGGGGTACAGGATTGCCTCCCAGCAATGCAAGTGCTGTCCTATAGGCATGCTTGACATTCTTATTCAGGGAGTAGGCTGCAGCTGTGCCGTAGTCCCCATTTGTAGAACAGGATGGGACCCTAGCAAGCCTGGCCTCCTGAGCATAGCAGCTCCTGATTGGTTTGTTGTCTTATCTCCGGGCCTTGTGCACCACACTGCTTCTGCTGTGGCTGTTCCTGCCAAACGAAGGATGGGAAAGCACTTGTTCGTGCTTCAAGATCAACCCTACAGAATCCTTAGGGGTCAGACTCCAGATTTCTGACAACATCTCCAGGTGTTGAATCTGCAACACCGAATCTGAATAATTGACTAAGAAAATGCATGTCCAAATACGAGGTAACATCCATCCCATTTATGTCCTGCCCCTCTTCCAGGGAAATCACGGATGCATTCATGGAATCGTACTCTTTTAATTTCCCAGCGACAAAGGTAGCCTAGGCAAAGCCACTCAGGGAGCTGGTCCATAGCCTGCCCCAGGTGGGATCCATGCCCAATATAATTGTAGCAGTTTGTCTGGTTTTTTAAAGCATTATAATTTGCCCCAAACCCTTCTCCAATTTTGCTCACAATAGCAAACACCATGTGCCTAAAGCAGTTGGATTCCTGAGCATTTGCTCAGGGAATTTCTCACAATCGATAATAAGGCTGGTTAAAAAGACCACTCCACATTCTGAAACGCTCTGATTCATAGCACCACTAAGTGATCCTGTGAACGGCCCCCTCCGTTTCTCCTCCCTCTCTACTCACTGACAGCATCTGACTTTAGGAATTCATTTAGGAGTCATTTATTTATGTAACTGCTTCTTCCATAATGCAATATTCACTGACTGATGTTCTCCTGCCACATGGTGGTGCTTTGTGTGTGTATGCTGTAGTGGTGATTGCTACAGTCCATATACAAAGGAAGCAACCAAAGGGGTGGAGCCCCAAACATTTACAGAGGGTGACATTTCTTGCACTGTTCAATAATTTAAAGGCAAAAAGAAAGGAAATCTTGAGGAATTCAACTGCATTTGCTCTCTTCACAGCCATTAACTCTGCTGCAGAGCAGTGTTTCTGGTTTGGGTTTGACTTTACAACCAGGATACTTAAAAAAAAAAAAGTGGGGAGGGGAAGTAGGGCTGTATGATTATTGTGCATTTACTTAGAATTCCCTTTTCTACCGGCCAAAGGTTACAAGAGCGCAGCCCGAAATCCCGCGAGGATCAGCTTTACTTTACCACCGCAATTGTTGCATAAACACTGTGTAATGGCTCTTGGCTTTCACGGAGTTTAATGCATGGCTTCTTTTCTCATGCAAGCCTGATTAGTTGCCAACCCGGCTGGTTTGAAGTGAAGCAACTCGGCCCGCCTGCGAGTTCCGAGCCGCTAAATCATTCGCCGTGCGACCAACCAGCACATTTCACGCTCTTAGTTCAGTTCAAGGGGTTGCCACTGCCGCAGCAGCCGGAGGAGCGGTCGCCCCCCGCCCCCCATCTTCTCCCCTCCCTCTTCTGCTCCCGGGTTCCTTGGATATTGGATGACGGCGCTTTCTTTAATGGATACTTCTCTCCCCCCTCTTTAAAAGCTCGAAGCTGCTGCGTCTTGCAAATGATTCCTTGATGCCGTCTGGGCAGATTGATCTCCGGGTGGCTGGATGCGGGCTTGCCGCCCGCGCGTGTGTGTGCGTGCGTGCGTGCGTTTTGTTGTGGTTCATGCAGTCCTTGTGGGGAGAAGCGTGAGCGACGTGCCACAGCCGCACGGAATGTGGGAAGCGGCGTTTTTAATTGTCGGGGGTTGCAAGTGTGTGTGTGTGTGTGTGGCGGGGGAAGCGGGCGAAGGAGGCGGGAGGCGGGCGCCTGCTGCCTGTAGTTGGGTGTGTGGCGGGTGGGCTGCGGTGAGGGGATGCTTACCTGGCTGGGAGGGGTGATGGATGGTGGCCTTCCGCCGCTCCCGCCATGGATAATGCAGAGAGAGAAACTGGTCCCTCGGCGGACGGGGGCGGGGCGGGCAGGCGCGGGGAAGTTCGCGCCGCTGCCACCCGCTTCGGGCCTGTCCTCGGAGGCGTGGAGTTGGCATTTTCCACGGAGAGGGAGGGATGCGAAGGGGAACACACCGGAATGAATTCCTTCTTCCAGCTGGAGAGAGAAATGCATGCCCCTGCTGCCGGCATGCCTCGTCTCCCTTCCGCATTCTGTGTGCGTGCCTGCGTGCGTCTGAATGAAGGAAAGGCGCCGTCAAAACAAAGCCAGACAAAACAAGAGATTTTTTAAAAGCCTGATATAAATAAACAAACAAGCCAGCCAGCCAGCAAGCAAGCAAACGCGCGTCTCGACAGTCAAGGCATGCACCTGTGTGCACGTGGAGTTGGGGGTTCGCCGGCTCAAAGAACGTGCGGGGTGGGGGGCGCCGAGGGGGTGGGGATCCCTAGCGCCTTCTGCCCTAAGGGACAACGAGCTGGCAAGCTCATGAGTCGCCTCCTCTCTCCCTGCCCTTCTCTCCAAGGCCCGGATCCGGGTTAAAAGGATCGTCGCTGCTTCCAAGGTTGGCCCCGGGGCTGGGAGGCAGGGACGGCCTTCGGGCTCCTCAAGATGCAGCCCGTCACTCCACGCGCCGTCCAACGCGGATCGCGCCGCTGCACCAGCTCCCCCCTTCCGTTTGGCTTCACACTCCTTCGGCCGCGCCCGCTCCGCGGTTCTCTCGGGTCATCTGCCCGGAATCCCTTTTCTCCCCAGCCCACGCCCAACATTCCAATTCAGATCCACCATGGAGCGAAAGCCACGCGAACTTTTTAGCCTGGCGAGGGCACATTCTGCCTGCGAGCGGCCAGGGCGCCCCAAGCCCTCCGAGCCCCGCAAGCGCAAGGTGGCCACCCGGGCGCGGCGGACACCACCCCGCGTGGACACGCGGCCGCCGGGCGAGCGGAAGGAGGACGTGGCCCCCTGCAGGGCACGCCCTGCCCTCGCGAGCTGCGCAGGCCACAGGATCGGGGGCAAGCGAGCCTCTCCGCGTGCCGCGGGAGGGGGCAGCGGGGAGCGTCGCAGATCGTGCCCGGGCAGCCGCAGAGACACCCCCCCAAGCGCCGCACACACACTCGCAACATTCGCACATGCGTGGTGACCGCAGACAACTTCCACATGCCCGTGATGTACGCCCGGCTGGGAACCTCATGCGATGAGAGCGTGCCGGCTCTTGCGTCTGAGGGAGCTCCGGGCCCGCGCAGACGGCGACGGCCGCGGCGAGGAAACGGAAGATGAAGCCGGAGACGCGAGCCGCCTTCCCGCTGCTGCAGATCCGGCGAAGAGTTCTCGACAGGTGAAGCAGGTGGGGCGGGAGGGTTACCTGGCTAGAAGTTGCGGGTGCCCCCCGGCCTTTCCCTCCCCCCGCCTCCAGCGCTCAATGCGGCTCGGGCGGCGGCTTCCCCCTTGCATCCTCCGCCCGCCGGATGGTCCCCGCCAGCGCCCCCGGGGTGGGGCCGGGGGCAGCCGCCTCCGCGGTGTGCGCCTCGCGGAACGCGGAGCGAGCGCAGCCTCAGCATCAGCATCTCTCGCTCCAGCTGCCGCCGCCGCCGCCGCCGCCGCCTCCCTCCGAGGGACCTGCATCCCGCTCCTCCAATCAGAGGCCGCGCTGCCTGCGCCACGTGACCCCGGCGGGCTGAAGGGACCTGCTGCTTTCCCAACGCCAGAGGGATGCGGGCGGCAGAGCTGGAGAGGAGGCAGCGGCGGCTTGGCTGCGAAGCGCCTTGACTCGCTTCTCTCCAGCCCAGCCCAGCCCAGCCCAGCCCAGCCCGACCCCTTATGGCAGCGGCTGCTCCAGCCTCCTGTTTCTCTTCCTCCTCCTCCTCGGCCGTCCTTTCTCCTGACGATTCCCGGGCTGGGCCAGGCCCCTGGATGGTAATACCGCTGCCTCTGCTGAAACTCTCAGGATCATCATCGCTGCCTACCATCATGCCAGGACTTGAGTGCTTCTTCGTAGCCTGCTGCCGGCTGGGGCCCCCGGGATGCTAAGTCGCGCCCCTCCTCTTGCTCCGCGTCAGCCCGAGACCGATCCGCTTTGGGGAGCTTTCCTCTGGCTGCTGCTGCAGAGTTGAGTTAAGAAGTCATGGTGTTGTGGGAATCTTCCCCAGCTCGGCAGTGCAGCAGCAGCAGCGGTGGCGGCGGCGGCGGCAGCAGCAGCTGGACACTTTGCGATTGCTTTTGCTGGTTGCTCCTGCCGGTGATGTTACTCATCATAGCCCGACCGGTGAAACTTGCAGCGTTCCCTACCTCCTTAAGTGACTGCCAAACGCCTACTGGGTGGAATTGCTCTGGTAAGCTAATGGGGGAAATGGGGCCCCGGGAAGTGGGGAGTGGAAGATGTACGGCAACCTCCATCCATTGCTAACCGGAGTCTTCTTTAAAAAGAGACTAAGAGATGGGAGACCCGAGGGGTGGGGTTAAGCTATCTCATTTTTAAAGCGTGCATAGGACTGGTTGGAAAAATCACAGATCGCGTTTGATTCAAAAGGAACGGAATGTCTGGGCAGCAAGAGCAAAAAAGTATCCGTACATCTTTTGCCACTTCCGTCTCCCCTTAATGGCTTCTGCTTGAAATTGGCTCTCTAGAGTGATTTCTGTAGTTTTTTATAGCCTGGACACAATTTGGCAAATTGATCAGGTAACGGGCAAAGGGCAGATAATATTTTATCCTCCTCTTCCTCCTCCACTTCATCATCATCATCGTTTGAAGTATTAAAAGTTCAGCAGCAGGAGATACAGTGAGGGCAAATGCAACAAAGCAAGTTGTGACTGGCTGAGAAGCACAGATATCTTGCAAAAAGTGCACTGGAGCTACTCCAGCTCATCTTTCCAAGAATCAGCAAGTCTAATAACCTCGGAAGCTAACCCCCCTCCCTCCTGCGCACACACACAAACACACACCTGTCGCTATTACAATGCATTTTCATTTCTTTTAGTGTTTGGAGTGCCTAAACTTCCTATTTTTTTTTTCTTTTGCGCTTCACTTAAAAAACAACAACAAAAAATGGCTTGTTTCTGGAGAGAATGTAGGCAGAAGCAAAGTGTTTATGTCCCCAGTTCAGACTGGACACAAAGAGGCAAAGCATATGATCAAAAATTGACTACTGAATTCTTTCTTTTCCTCCTCCTCCTGTAGGCTGTGGTGAAACAGGCTTCCTTCTTCCTTTCCCTTATTTATCTGGGCAGTTTCAGCCCTGCTTGAAGTGGCTTGCCAGGAGCAGTCCAAGTGAAATGTACTAATTGAATAAGGAAGAGATGGTGGAGGGTTATTGCCTCTCTCCGTCAAATGTCTTTTCCTATGATCATCCTCATCCTCAATAGGTTAATTGTACTTCTGTCTGGAGTGTGTTTACCATTGTGCAGAGCTTCCCACACAAGCTGGGTTTGCAGATGCTTCTGGGAGTCTCTTCTTTTCGAAGCCTAATCTCCATGTATCTTCTTTAAAGAAAAAATGTGTTTACATCTATATCTACTCAGAGAGGGATTGCCAAATACACCAGCAGGATTTTGGTGCAGCTTATCATTCACTAATACTAGTGTGTAACTCTGTGCCTTTAGATTAAAAAAAGTATACTTCCTCTCTGTATTAAAGGTGGAGGAACAGATCCTGCAGGATAGACATTAGAGCTTACTATTTCCTCCTATTTACTGGATTGGTTTTATTAAGTCGAATCTGAATGCAAAAACTGCAGGGAAGCCAATACTTCATCATCTTTCAAACCACAGGAACCTTTACAACAGATACAGCATTTAGCCCAGTACTGTGGCTTTCTGCCGTTGAAACTTAAAGCATTTCTGAAATTAGCTAGGCTATGTAACAAGAACGTCATGCTTCAGTGCAGTATCTGTCTCTGGTATGTAAGTCATTAGGAGCAAGAAGTCACTTTGGTTCTATGTGTGATGCTTTAATTTTTAATATAGCTGCAAACGTGATGAGGATTACGAATAACATCAACATCTTGATGAATTGGGGAGCCTAAATATGGCTGTTTTGCTTTAGACTTTCTGACACACCCTCAGAGGAGGGTGGCAACTAGCTGAGGTCTGAAATCGGAGCTGGCATTCCTGAGCTGAATCTTCAGCCAGATCTGTTAGCCTGCCTGTCCAAACTGGAGGAAAGGAGCTGGGCTGTATCTGCAGCGCTGTGAAGAACCTGGCACCCCTCCTATTAACCTGGAGGTGATCCATCTTCATTGGAATCAGACAGCCTATCACAAAAAGCACACAGCCTGTTTATCTTTATTATTAGGGAGCTTTGTTATGTCACTGCCTGGAGAAATTCCCATTTTAGACTTCAGACCTGAAGATCTGATGGGGAGGGGTAGGGAAAATGTGCTGTATTCACTTGCTTGGTTTTGAGGAAATGGAATCTACTTTCACAGAGAAAGAAAGAAAAAAAGAAAGACAGACAGACAGACAGACAGACAGACAGACAGAAAGACAGGGGAAGGGGCAGGTAGAGTAACTGGTACTGCAAACTCCTTGCATAACAGGAGCAAGAAAAGGCAAAGTGGAATGAGAAGCCAGACCTATCTAGATTGCTTTTGCTTCTTCAGGAAGGTTAGGTGTGCCACATACATTAAAAATCAATTGCCCTGTATAATTTGCCTCGAAAGGCTGAACCTGACAGCATTTTTCTCGTTACATTTGAGGTTATGATGACAGAGAAAATGATCTCTTTCTCTGCGACACCAATACCTGTAAATTTGATGGGGAGTGCTTAAGAATTGGAGACACCGTGACTTGCGTCTGTCAGTTCAAGGTAAGGAGATTGATCTCTCATTCCTTAATTCATTAATGAGAATACAAATCAGGGATCTCCCTTTACAACCCATCACTTGGCAATTTATTTCTCTGCATGCAGAGAAGTCAGAGTGAAAACCTGGCAGCAAGTCTAAAGAGCTGGCAGGACAGCCAACTGGTGTCAAGAAGATAAAAGATTCTCTGGGAAAATGTAGATACTCTTTTTCTAAATGCCTCTTTAGGGTCTGCAGCGTCAGGTTGTGCATGCATGGTTTAACTACCGTGGCCTTTTAAAATCAGGATTTCCTGTCCTTTCTAAATTCTGCCAGTCATACAGATGCTGCTTTATACGTTTAGGAGGCCACTGCTGTAGTTGCAGGAGAGTTGATTTGTAAGGTTTGCAAAGGCTGCTTTTATGTATCAAAGGCACTCTAAAATGGTGTTTCATTGTTTTTGAAACAGTGGTGCTTCATTCCTGAAAAGGAAACCCATTCCCAGTTAAATCCCTATCTAAAATTTAAGAAAGTTTAAATACTACTATAACTGCTTGAGTTCTATTAATTTTAAGGAACCAGTCCACATTTTTTCAGTGGCAAATATTTTAACTGGAGTTCTCTAGGTGTTTTGGATTGCTGCTCCCATCAACGGTCAGGGGCTATGCAAGCTTTAGTCGAAAACACCTGGAAAGCAGTAAATTGCTTACCCATCATCAGACCAAATAAGGTGGATTCTGCATATTACTGATACCTGGAGGGAAACATTGCTTGGACTTAAGTCCCACTGACTGCAGTGGGGCAGCTTTTCTCCATGCATATACAATTTCTTTGCATAAAATGGCTTATACCCACATTTCAAGTGGCGGTTGGTGACTCTAATATCAGAGGTGAACCCATTTCACCACACTGGTTAACTCCTTTGAAGTTCGGATTAAGCCCAGAGAGGATACATTGTCCCACTGATATTACAGCCACTGAACTCCACTGCCCCATTCCCAAGCAGATCCACACTAGATTCTGTGGAAGGCAATGCAATTTACATCCAGATTGGGATTTGGAGCTGAGATGCCAATGGAACATGAATGGCAGTGGCATAGTTTCGGGACTACCTCTCTACATGCCAAATAAGAATTTATTTTCTTCCAGCAAGCTGCCTGAATATATTTTGTTTAGATGTTCAAAGAACATCCTTGCATATTTTAAGAGGCACTCAACCTGTACTGTGGGTGTGCGGTACACTTTCAGGTAGACTCATGATGGCAAACCCAGCTTTTCTCCTATGTTTTCTGTTGTATCTAGTTTCATGAGAACAATCACAAACAATTCCCTGTTCAATATCTCACCGTATAGGCACTGAAAGTATATTATGAGCTTTTAGCCAGATAGGTACTCCTTTGAGCATGATATGATGTTTCATAACCAGTGGCTGATCACTTTTCAAATTAGACATTGGAATTATTAAAATCATTCTGTTCTGCATATAGCCCTTATTTCTATTTTGCAATGGCTACATTAAAAAAATCAGACATCATATTTAAGGGCATGTTCTTGTCCAAAGGCAAGGGAAACAAAAGCACACTGGAGAGGTCTAAACTAGAAACCTTAGTTACTTGGAAGTTGCTTCTTTTCATGCAATTGATTTAGTGCCCTGTCCTTGCATCTCCGGCTGGTGGGCAAAGGAAGCCAATCCAGTGCCATCAACAGTGCAAATGAAAAAGACCCAGAGTACACTTAGTTCCTTTTCATGTGGCTCCAGTTTGGCTTTCACAGTTGGCTTCAACTTAGTGAACGCTGGAGAACTTTCATAATGGCAGAGAAACCAGAAGCTCTTCCACAGAAGCGAACGTGGTTGCTGTACGAGGTCGCTTGTCTGAGCCTTCTCCAGCACTCCAGCTGTGGTGGACTGCAACGGCCTGCATTCCTGGCCATGGGCTGAGGGGACTGGAAGGCCGGAACATCTGGAGGGCACCAGGGTGAGGAAGGGGCAGGGCTAGCATCTCTAATTCTCATGCCGAACAGCAGATTGAAAACTGTGCTAAGTGCAAGGGAGGGGAAAAGCCTCAGCAATCAAAGATAAAGGATGAGGCTCTAACTCAGTAGAAAAGGGTCTTGGCATGTTGTGCAGGATCCAGTGGTGCATTTGCAGAGAGATTGGCAATCTCTCTCTCTCTCTCTCTCTCTCTCTCTCTCTCTCTCTCTCTCTCTCTCTCTCTCTCTCTCACACACACACACACACACACACACACACACACACACACACACACACGATCACACATGTGCACAGTGCTGAGTTTCCAACAAGACAGCCTCCAGCCTCCCTAAAAAGCTATGCCAGCTGCCTTGGAATTCATCCTCCTAAATCTGGAGTTGGGGGATACCGGCTGCTGCCCCTGTAGTGGAGCAAAAATCTGTTCCAGGTATGGTTGCCAATCAGTCAGGAAAAGTTTACTGCCCTGTTAGGAGAACAGGAATTAACAGGCAGAAACCAGGAGTGAACGTTTTTGTGGTATATAGAGACCAGCATTGCTGCCTGCTAATTAGTGCAAATCCAGCAGCTGTAACTAAAGACAGCACTACAGGGACAGGTTCAAAGGCCGGCTGTAACCCCTAATTCCAGGACTCAACCCTGTTGCAAGCGACAGATCACAGGCCTGAGCCCTGGGAAGTCCTGGCACTACTTCAACCTCCTCTCAACCTGTGCTGGAAAATGCTACTATATAGCAAAACATGCTGATGAGCCATTTGTGTGCATGGAGAGAAGAATGGGGCATGCCAGGGAACTGTGTGTGAGCGATGCAGTCGGTAGAAGCTGGTGCACCCAGTGATGGTATCATGACCAGGCTTGTCCCCCTGCAACACTGATCCCAAGCACAGTAGTGTGCGTGGGTATGCACCCAACCCCATATAAGTGAATGGGAAAAGGATGCGCATGATTTGATAACATGGCCTCCCCCGGCACTGCACTCTCCAGATGTTTGGGACTACACCTCCTAGCAGCTTCAGCCAGCAGCACCATCTGATGTGCTAGAAGTAGCCATTCAAAACATCTGGACAGCACCAGGTTCAGGAAGGGCGGTCTAGGCGAAAAGTCTTTCCTTTCACTGGCCATTCCGGTTTCTGGAATGAAAGGCGGGATCTGCCCTCCATTCCATTCAGCTGTGCCTCAGATCTGAGCTGGAGTTTACTCTGACAATAAAGGCCTTTGGGGATGTGACACCACTGTGAGACAGAGCCCTGGAACTGGCACTGCATGTGTGGTTTTTTTGTATAGCACGTCTCCTCCAGGCTATTCAGGGTCCTCTGACACTGAGTACAGAAAACAAGTCAAGGTGCATGGATGAATACCATGAGATTGTATTGCTCGGATTCACCTTCGGGATAAAGTGGGGAACACACTCAGTGCATTTGCAAATTGTTGCGATTATGGGAGGCTGCCTCATGCTGAGTCAGACCATTGGCTCTTCTAACCCAGTATGGTGGACACTGACTTCCAGCTATAGCTCTCTGGGGTCTTTCCCAGCCTGACCTGGAGAAGCCAGGAACTGAACCTGAGCCCTTCTGCCTGCAAAGCAAGGGCTCGGCCAATGAGCTACCGTAGCACCTTGCAGGTATTGCAGCTCTAGTCCTAATACTGGTCAAGGTACACGGCCATGACTCAGGCTGTCCTCCTGATACAGACCGGCCTTTATGAAAGGCTCCCGAAGGCAACAAGAGCATAAGCCACAGGCCAAATGTCCTGCACAAGAAGTTGCTGAAGCTGAAGCCACATTCGCTCTGGTCCTCCCTGGAGCGGGCCTCAGCCCTCGATGCTGGTACCCACCACTTACTCCTGACCTGGCACCTACTTCAAAACAGACAAATGTGGGTCGGTTCTGGGGGTCATGTCAGGCAATAGGACCTAGCCATTATTTTTCAGTTCTTGTACTTCCATTTTAATTTTCCACAGTGTGAGTTTACTTAAGGGCATTGTAGGGGAGGTAAAGGGGAGGTAAAGGGCAGCTAGACCCAGCCCTGCACAGCTGCTCTGGGGCAGACCAGCATCACTCTTAGGTAAAGCCACCAGTAGGAAGGCCCCTACCAGGGGGCATTTTTCACAGTACACCCTCAAACCCCAAGTTGGTCCTGGTTCCCTTTGACTGAGTAAAGATAATACAGATAAACCGAACTCAGGTGAAGTATGGGTTGTCTTTGGACTGTAGGTTATTGAACCTACCTTGCAAACAAACCATGGGCTGATAATTATGAACAATTCAGTTCACAGCCCAACAAGAAATTATGTGTTTTCTTGATGGGTTCTTAACACAGCTGAGTTTTGACAACATCATAAACTATATTTCAGCTACAGCCCATAGTTCACAGCAGAGGAGTTGTTAAATGATGTGCTTCAGGGCATGAGTGCACAAAGGTTCTTTGGGGTCTTGGGTGTGCAAAGCTGGTGGCACCCACACACAGTTCCAGATTGTCCCTGGGCCAGATCCAGTTACCTTTATCCAGCCCATATGGCTTGAGAAGCAAATGGAGATATGCAGAACCACAAGCAACCCACACAGTCCTTTTCAGAGGAGCTTCTTCTCTACTTCCACTTGTACAAGGAGATTTTGACCAGACACACAGAAAGTTCCCACTCCATCATGTCCTGTAATCACAGGATGCTTGTCTGGTGACTACTATCCTATTTGCAGAGTACAGCCCACTGCTTGAAGAGCTGACAGAGCCGAGTCCTCCACTGAAATGGGTTATCTGTAGAGTCTAGGTCTACTTTAAAAAGGAAGAACCTTAAGATATCCCAACAAGGGACAGCAGGGCCCTTGAAGTGACCTGCCAGCAGTTGGCATTGGTTAGCTCACCTGGTCACAGTCTTCCCCATTAGGGTGAGTTGCATTGTCTTTCTCTTTGAAAGACAATAATTATAAATGAGTGCATGTGATTTCCGTGCAAGGTTGTGTCCTCGTTGGTCTTTGTGATTGCACTGTGTAACTGGCATCCCAAATTGATTGTGCTGGCTGTCAGCAGGTGGAGCTTC